TTGGGAAGCTGAGGTGGACAGATCACTAAAGGCCAGGAGTTTGAGACCAGCCTGGCCAACATAGTGAAACCCCTTCTCTACTAAAAAGACAAACTTAACTGAGTGTGCTGCCGCATGGCACATGCCTGTGGTCTTAGTACTTAGGAGGCTGAGGTATGAGAACTGCATGAACCTGGGAGGTGGAGGTCGCAGTGAGCGACATGGCACCACTGGGTATCCCAGCCTGGGCGACAGAGCAAGACTCTGACTGAAAAAAGAAAAGGATTTCTCTCTAGGATTTTGCCTTCAAAAATGATAAGTCACAGGGCAAACATTAATATTCTTATTTTTTTTTGTAAGTTTCTTTGGCTTTTACTTTTTACAATTCTGAAAACAAAGTAGAAAAAAATTGCTAGATGTAAATTTGTAGAAAGCAAAATTTAATAAGTAGTTAATAGTAGCTATTATGTGCAAATATAAAGCTAGAACAGTGGGGTCCTCTTCTCAGACAAATATCTTAAAATCTTTCATTCAGAATTTGAAATCCATCTCAAGAAAAGAAAAAAACAAGGAGGAGCAAAGTTTCCTAGATAAATGGTAAGAATTAGTACAGTGAAGAAAACAATGAGGGTTTTGCTACTGACTCAAAAGGCCACCTCGATGCAAAAGCAACAAATAACATTACCAGAAATACTATTGGTTAGAAAAAACACCCTATGTGTACCCTTTTTTAATAACTTACTGAAAGACACATTCCTGTGAAGCAAGAGATAAATAAAGAGTATGAGTCTAAGAAAAGAGAAGGTATGATATTAAAGGAATACAGTAGTTTATGATGCCATGTAAAACTATCAAAGTAAAAATAATTGTTATAAGCATTATAGCAAAGTTGAATGCAAAAACATTAATTTGAATTGCATCAAAAATAAGACGAACTAATAAATGGAAAGATATACAGGTATGTACTAAAGCAAATATTAAATGTTAATGGTAGAATCTAGGTGGTGAGTATATTTGCAAAAATGTTGGAAAAGTGAATGCAAGAATTTTCTTTCAAAAATTTACATTTGATTATGTATGATGCAATAAATAAAAAAATAAATAAAAGCTCAGCAATAAAGATAATATGAGTCCATAACATGAGACCACAGCATACCAAAAAAAAAAAAAACAAAAAAAACAAAAAAACATAGAACCTCATCTCTACTAAAAATATAAAAATTAGCTGGGCATGGTGGCACATGCCTGCTGTCCCGGCAACTTGGGAGGCTGAAGCAAGAGAATCACATGAACCTCAAGGCAGAGGCTGCAGTGAGCCGAGACCACGCCACTGCACTCCAACTTGGGTTACAGAGCAACACTCTGTCTCAAAGAAAAAAAAA